TACCACCACCAACAACAACAACAACACCACCATCATCACCAACAACAACAACAGCGACACCACCACCCCCACCACCACCAACAACAACACCACCACCACCAACACCAACAACACCACCACCACCAACAACAACAACAACAACAACAACACCATCACCAACAACAACAACAGCGACACCACCACCCCCAGCAACACCAGCAACAACAGCACCAACAATGGCAGTCAGCAGTATACCACTACTCCACCCAGGCCCACAAAGCGTGTGGGTGATGTGTGTAGTTTCCCTCCTCTGTGGCGCCACCTGCCTGAGGAGAACCGCGGGAACCGATGGCCTGGCTCCCCGGACACAACAGGCCAGGTACAGCAGATCTGACGGCCGGCTTCCTGGGTCGGACGGCTGGGGGGTCGGTCTTACCTCCGGTCAGCGAGTCGAGAGGAGTCAGCGGTCAGTTAGAAGTGGACACAGCCTAACACAACTTGATGAACATCCGTCAGTTAGAAGTGGACACAGCTTAACACAACTTGAGGAACATCCGTCAGTTAGAAGTGGACACAGCCTAACGCAACTTGAGGAACATCCGTCAGTTAGAAGTGGACACAGCCTAACACAACTTGAGGAACATCCGTCAGTTAGAAGTGGACACAGCCTAACACAACTTGAGGAACATCCGTCAGTTAGAAGTGGACACCGCCTAACACAACTTGAGGAACATCCGTCAGTTAGAAGCGGACACCGCCTAACACAACTTGAACATCTGTACAGACATCACTCTCGAGGTGGGTCGGGGAGGGTCAAACGAAACAGTCCTGAGAACAACAACTTGGACGAACAATGTGAAAAAACTTGGGATAACAGAACTCACTCCGCAATCCACCCTACACGACACTACGCTGCTGCATATAGTACAAACCTGCCCCTCTTGGTCTCTGATCCCGTCAGGTGTGGCGCACAGGCTGGACTACAGATCACAGAACAAAATGGAGTTATCCACTTCTGGTCTCCGTGCTGTGCAGTCCCTTGTGGTTTTCAGTTCTCCTTTAATGTGCCCAGGAGATCGGAGTTATGTCTAGAATTTCTAGAGTTTAATGTACCTTCTCCTGTCTCAATTGAGTCAGACGGGTATTATACATGTTTTTACACTATAGTGTATTTTATTAATTCCAAAATTGAATTCTGCGGCACAGTGGCCCCTGAGCCATTTAAAGTCTGGTCGGAATCTGGAAACATTTCTATCGAAGTTATAACATCAAGGCACACATTGTGTCGTGATGCCATTTCCTTTACCCTAAAATACCGGATGTGTGACATAGATTTAAAAGACGAGTCGATCGACTACATTGAAGACAATATGTGTCGGTCACTGCATACCGTGGTCAGCGAGGGTCAATCTGGATTCATTGTGTCTACCGGATACAGAGAAGAAGGTTACTATTATGACCGTTCTGATCCTAGGTCATGTGAGTTGTATATTGAAGTCTCAAATACCAGCGTTCTTCAGTTGTCCTTCGAGTCTTATTACTACAGTGGCAATCCACGGGAATACATGGTAGTCTACACAGTAGGACAGCCTCATACCGACTCCCACCATTTAGTAGAAGTAGTTTTCTATAACATAGACTACTACCGTATGAGAGATGGTTATCGACTTACTCTGCCCAGCCATTGGGCTTACGTGATTGTCCAACCATCGCTGGATGGCGAGAGGTTCAAAATGTGGTACAAGGCTGTCAGTAGAGATTCCTACATTCCGATAATAAGTGGCCCATTAAGATTCGAACTCAACTGTTCTGGGTATGAACACTCTCTTCCCCCATACATTCGTTGTGATTTATATGAGGACTGTGCAGGAGGTGAAGACGAGGTGAACTGCGCGTCCGAAGATGAAGCCTGGTGTCCTGGTGGTTATGTCTTGGGGTCCAGTTGTTATCACTTCCACGACCAACAGCCTGACACCACTTGGCAGATGGCGGAGGACATGTGCGTGCAGCGGAATAACGGTCATTTGATCATTCCAAACTCCGAATCAGAGCTGAATTTTTTTTTTCTTTTACTGGATAAAATTAATAAACCGTGGTATCTGGGTTTCCGGCGTAAGGACTTTGGTGCGGAACTTTTGTATCGGAAAGTTTACCAAGGTGTGGACGGGACTACCGTGTTTGGTGGATTCAAACAGCAATTTGTCTCTGATGTCGCTGCTGCGTGCGCTGCGTGGGACAGGGAAGGTTTTGGTGGTCAAAGACATGTGACTAACATACATTGCGACCAGGTCTCTACCATATACGAGAGATATGTTCACTCTGACTTTTATATAGTCTGCGAGTCTAAAAAGCCAGAAGTCGTCCAACCTCTCGTGACTCCCACCCTGGCTGTTGTGTGGACAGCGAAAAGGGAAACGTTTGAGTGTGTGGTCAGTAAAGAGAGAGTCCCCCTGTCCAGGCGATGTGACTGGATCTCAGACTGCTGGGACGGAAGTGACGAAGTCGGCTGCACTAGTCTGAGTGACGCACCCTCGTATGTCTGGTTTACCTGCACGTCTGGACGTCCGCTGTGGTACTCCCACGTCTGTGATGGTGTCAGCGACTGCGTGGACGGTTGTGACGAGGAGTTTTGTGCCCCGGCCCCTGACGACAACCCAGCCCTGGCGGTGTGTGCCGATGGAGTCCCGGTGCCGGCCTCTGCCTGGTGTGACGCCAAACCCGACTGTCTGGACGCTTCTGACGAGCTGGACTGCTCCAGGTGTAACGGCGGGGCCCTCCTGTGTCCGTCTGTGGGCTGCCTGCCGCCCCACTGGGCGCACGACCACGCCCTGGACTGCCACCTCAGAGACAAGAGTGGTCAGTGGATCCT